ATAGTTTCTTGTTCTGCCATAAGAATTGTGTCATCAATTTATCCAATTCTTTAAAATGTTTTTGATTTTGGAGAGTAGGAATTGATTGAATAGGAAGATCAATCTTGGTAATATGCTCATTTTAATTGTAGCTACTCTTTCCATTAAGGATATTTGTAAGTTTTTCCATTTTTCCAAATCTTTCTTAATTTCTTTTATAAATTCCATATAATTGTATTTCACCAAAGAGTTACATCTGTTTGTTATATTTATTCCTAAATATTTCACCTTCTTTTGAATTTCCAAGCCTGATATTTCTTCTAAACGTTGGACTTGAGGGTTTTGTCATATTTTTGACTAACATTTTTGTTTTATTACAATTGATTTTCAGTCCAGCCACCAAATCATAGTCCTGTAAAGAGTTTAATAATTGCTTAATAGACTCCAATGGATTCTCTAAAATAAATACCAAATCATCAGCAAAAGTTCTATTCTTCTCCTCTTATTTTAAGGCCTTGAATTTGTATGTCAGCTCTGATCATATCGTTCAATACCTCAAGAGCAAATATAAACAATAATGGTGAGAGTGGGCATCCTTGTCTTGTTCCTTTTTGTATCTCAATATTTTGTGATAAATCTCCATTAATCAAGACCTTTGCTTGTTGCTTAGTATAAATTGCTCTAACCATTGTGTAAAACTCATTGCCAGAATGTGAATTTAATAATAACTCCAACATAAAATTCTAGCTAACACTATCAAAAGCTTTTTCCGCATCTAAAAAGATTAAAGCCATTTGTTTTCCTGGATGGGCTTCAAAATATTCTATCACATTTAATATCATTCTTACGTTACTCCTGAGTTGTCTTTTTGGAAGAAAGCCTGCTTGATCTTGGTGAATTGTTTGAATCAAAACTCTTTTCATTCTTGCAGCCAAAATAGAAGCATAAATTTTATAATCCACATATAAGAGTGAAATTGGCTTTTAATTCTTGATTTCTTTCTCATCAGAATTTTGCTTGTATATCAATTTTATCAAGGCTTCATTCCAAGTCTCTGGTATTTTCCCTTCAGTTACTATGTTTTGAATTACACATTTTACTGGTAATATCAGTTGATCTTCAAATACATACATTTATTTATTTATTACATTTATATCCCACCCTCCCCGCAAGCGGGCTCAAGGCGGCTCACACTACTTGGCCAGTGTGCCAAGATTCATATAAAACATTTAAAACCATTTAAACAATCAGCAAATTTCAATCAAAGTGCATACAGTAGTTATTACGGCAAGATGGCATGTCATATAATACCAAGCTCAAAGCACACCACTCAGCAGTCTCCAGTTCTTTGAGGTGGTGTGGCTCAATCTCAACTGCGGCTGGCCTATGCCACAGATATTAATCATGGTCATTGATGGTAGTGGTGGGTGGCTCCTAGTTGAAGGCCTGGTGGAAGAGCTCCGTATTGCAGGCCCTGTGGAACTGTGCAAGATCCCACAGGGCCCTGATCTCCTCTGGGAGCTCATTCCACCAGTAAGAAGCCGCCACTGAAAAGGCCCTGGCTCTGGTAGCCACGAGCCTGGCCTCCCTGGGGCCTGGGATAACCAGTCGGTGTTGTGCACCCGACTGTAGTGCTCTCTGGGGTATGTACGGGGAAAGGTGGACCCTCAGGTATGTCTGACCCTGGCCATATACGGCTTTAAAGGTAAGTACCAGCACCTTGAAGTGGATTCGGTATGTTATTGGCAGCCAGTGCAGTGCCTTCAGCACCGGCCAGATGTGCTCCCGTTTAGGGATACACATCAATAGCCTGGCATTCTGCACTAGCTGCAGCCTCCAGATTTACAACAAGGGCAGCCCCATGTAGAGAGCGTTACAATAGTCTAACCTTGAGGTGACCATCGCGTGGATCACTGTAGCCAGGTTGTTGCAATCGAGGAAGGGAGCCAACTGCCGGATCAGCCGCAGATGGTAAAAGGCTGACTTAGCAGTTTCTGCTACCTAGGCCTCCACTGCCAAGAAGGGTTCCAGGAGCACTCCCAAACTCCTAACCACCTACGCAGGCACCAGTGGTGCCCCATCGAAGGCCGGGAGCGGGAGCCCCAACCCAGAACCGCTCCAACTCAGGCACAGGACCTCCGTCTTCACCAGGTTTAGCTTCAGTCGGCTCTGTCTGAGCAAACCAGCCACGGCGTGCAATGCCCGGTCCAAATCTTCCCGTCTGGAGCCTGACTGGCCACCTAACATCAAATAGAGCTGGGTGTCATGAGCATACTGGTGACATCCCAGCCCAAACTTCCAGGCATTCTGGGCAAGGGGGCGCATATAGATGTTAGAGCATCGGGGAAAGCACCGTCCCCTGAGGCACTCCACACTCACGCAGGTGCCTCCGGGACTGCTGTTCCCCTACTGCCACCCTTTGTCCCCGACACCTCGGAGAAAGGGAACAAGCCGCTGCAAGGCAAGCCCCTGTATCCCCCCACGTCGGCGAGGCGGTGGGCTAGTAGCTGGTGGTGGACCATGTCAAGTGCAGCTGACGGGCCTAACAACAACAGCACCACCCAACTGCCCCGATCCAGATGCCTCCGGAGGTAAGATTCTGCAGGAAATCCATCAGGGCCTAGAGAGATTTCACTTTTTTTGTTCTTTCAAGGCTTCTGTCCCTTCAGCAAACGATATTGAGTAGTTTAAAATTTTCCTTTGTTCTTCTGCAATTTTTTTACTATTATGTTTTTCCAAACATTCTTTTATTTGTTCTTGTGTAGCTTCTCTTTTTTTGATACAGCTTCTCATAAAACATTTCAATAATTTTTTCAAATGTTTAGGTAATTTCCCCCCCTCCTTTCTCTGAGTATCTTTATATATCTTTACTCCTTTACTTTCCATAGTTTGTATGCCAGCCATCTGGTTGGTTTATTTGCATTTTCAGAGTAATTCTGTTTTGCATAGATTAATTTTTTTTTGCTATTTCTTGAATTAATAAGCAGTTCATTTGATGTTGTAAGAGCTTTAACTTCACTTTTATCTGTTCCTTTGGAGAATCTTGTTTCATCCTTTCTTCCTGTTTTTTAATCTGACCCTTGATTTGGGAAAAATTTTCAGTCTTTTGTTTTCTAATGTATGCAGTTTCTCTAATCATCCAAGCGCCGGCATAAGCCTTAAACGCATCCCAAACAGTTCTAATAGAAATCTGTGGTTGGATATTTTGTTCAAAAAATGTCTGAAATTCTTTTTTGGATTTCCTTACAAATTTTTCATTTTTCAATATGAAGGTATTCAGGGACCATCTATTTTTCTTTGGGGTATCTTGTAATGTGAGCATAATCGGATTGTGAGCTGCAAAAGTTGCTGGTAAGATCTCCAGTTCTATTATGTCATTTATCAAAATTTTGTTTTGAAATAAGTTCTTGCAACAGTTTATAAAATTTCTCCTGATGTTGGTTGGGTGCTATATATATTCCTTATTCTCCTAATTTGCTGCAATCCCTTCTCCATCCCATTTTTATTTCGGAAAAGCTTTCATTTGTTATTTCATGTAAACCCTGACATGCTCCAAATTCAGGGTTTTTTCACTTTTCTTGTCCATATAGAAAAAGCCTATAGTGGCTGGGCAGTGCTGTTTCTGTCTTTCCAAATTTTCTTTCTTACACTGAAATACACTTTTTGAAATAGTATTGTTGTCACCTGATTTATATATAAAATCAAGATTTACCTGGAAACCCACAGCATCAATTTGTGAATATGATCAATATGTACACTCGATACATCATCATATATACAAATCCTCTTTAAAGGGTGAAAGAAAAGAGCTGGAATATGCCAGAGCAACATCCTCCTAGATTCTCATTTCAACATTATTACTTTCCAGAAACAAGGCATCTGGATTTCAGAAGACTCACCTCTAGCTGGAATTTCAGGTGTTCTCTCATGCTCTCAAAGAGGAGGAAACAAACTCGAAGGGAAGCTGAGTATAAATTGAGTCGCTCCACACTCAACAACTGGGGAAGAGATAGAAGTCAGAAGACGGTTAGCACAGAAATACTTTTCTCCTCTGCAGAAAACAATCCTACCCTCAAACCCCAGATCATAACACATGGGGGGGGGACCCCAACTCTTTGAGCCTGTGGGCACTGGTGGAATTCTGATGCAGAGTGGTGGTGGATGCAACCCCGAAAGGGCTGCCACAGAAGGTGGAGCCCAACACGTAAAGGGCTCATTACACAGAGTGAGTCAAGGCAATCAACAGGATGGGACATTCAGTAAACAATTAAATAGGGTTTGAGCTGTAGAATCAACCAGACAGAACCGAAACAAAGCATAAGTGTTAACATAACATATTAAATGATGCAAAATTACACAACAGAATCCAACTTACAGCAAAATATATACAGCAGCATAGACCCCAGTCCCTAATAATTTGTCCACGTAACTTTGTGAATCGTTTTGTACAGTGCTACCCTACCGATTGCTTAGGAAAGTGCTCTTGAATAATTCAGTTCTGTATAGTTTGCAGAAAGCCAGGAAAGTGGGACTTTTCCTGACCGCCTCAGGTGGACTGTTCCATAAAGTGGGGGCCACAACAGAGAAGGCGCGCGCGCGCACGCGTGTGTGTGTGTAAAGGGCAGTTACCCCCCTGTGCCCACGTGCAGGTTGGGACCTGGAGGAGGTGCTGCTTTGATGAGCAAAGCTGTCACAGGGGGAGAGATGGTCTTGCAGGTAAGAGGGTCAAGGTTAAGAAGGGCTTTGTATGGGATAGCCAATACTTTAAATGTAGCCTGGCAACTGATGGGCAGCTAGTGGAGTAGCTGCAGAACTGGGGTAACGTGCACAGTCCATCCAGCTCTCAGTAGTTGAGCTGCTGCATTCTGCACCAACTTGAATTCCTGAACTGATTTTGAGGGAAGACCAATGTCTAGTCTTCGTATCACAATGGCATGGATCCAGGTGTCTGGATCAGCTGTATCAAGGAAGAGGAAGAAGAAGTGGAGGAGATTGGATTTATGCCCCGCCCTTCACTCGGAGTCTCAAAGCGGCTTACAAACTCCTTTCCCTTCCCCTCCCCACAACAGACACCCTGTGAGGTAGGTGAGACTGAGAGAGCTCTGACAGAAACTGCTCTTTCAAGAACAGCTCTGACAGAACCATGGCTTGCCCAAGGTCAACCAGCAGCTGCAAGTGGAGGAGTGGGGAATCGAACCTGGTTCTCCCAGATTAGAGTCCATGCACTTAACCACTACACCAAAAGGGCCATTTTCAAACTAGGCTGAGTCGGAAGAAAAGCTTTTTTCCAACTGCATTAACTTGTTCCTCCAACAATAATGTTGGGTCCAGTATAACTCCAAGGCTCTCAACTGAGTCGGCAACAGTCAGCTGAAGTGGGGAGCATAATGACATTTAAGACCTTTGCCTTCCCAACCAGCATTACCTCTGTCTTTCCAGGGTTTAGTTTTAATCTGTTCACTCTTTGCCATTTAGCCACAGCAGCCTGGCAGCGATTTAGGACCTCTACTGCATCACCGGGAGATTTGGATAAGGGTGTGTGTGTGTGTGTGTGTATTTATGTACATATATATGCATCATCCACATGACAGCCAATGCCAAAACTACAAATGATTTGGCCTAAGGGCTTTAAATAAAGACTGAGCAGCACAGGGGATAGAATTACGTCCTGTGGGACCCCCCAGAATAGGTTCTCACACTGATGATAACTGGTCTCCAATGGCAATTCTTTGGACCTGGTCCATGAGGAAGGATTTGAACCAGTCCAATTTACATCTCCTGATGCCTGCTTCTGCCTCCAGGTACCTCAACAAGATGGTATGGTCCACTGTTTCACAAGCAGCAAACAAATTCAAAAGGCGCAACAAGAACCTTTATCTACATTTAGATGGAGGAGGTCAACTAAAGCCATCTGGGTCGTCTCTGTCCCATATCTCAGTCTGAAAGCTGTCTGAAAAGGGTACAGAGCAGATGAGTTATCCAAGAAGGCCTGGAGTTGATCTGCTACTGGCTCTCTCAATCATTTTGCCTAAGAAAGGCAGATTAGAAACAGGGTGATTACTGGCAGCATCATTTATCTGTACAGATGGCTTTTTTTAGTAGCAGACAGACAACAACCTCTTTGAGTGGTCGAGGGAAGGGGCCCTGAGATAATAGATAGAATTCATGTATGTGGTCTTTATATGATTTTAGGAGCAAGGAATAGACAAGGATTCAGGGTACACATAGATCCCAGGAACTTGTCAACATCCATCATGGAAACTGCGTCAAAGTGGTCCATAAACAGAACAGGCAGTATATTAGGCAGTTCTTCTGGTGGACCTATGTTATAGGCAGCATCTAAATCAGAGCGTATTCTTGATATTTTATCAGCCAAGGGGGCAGGAACCACTGCAAAAGTACCACAACTAACTTATCCTGATACAATGAAGGCTCAAGTTTAGGAGAGAACAGATGCTGCGTTACCTTAAACAACTGGGATGTTTGTGAATCAGCTGCTGCTACAATCACAGAGAATGCACCAGTGGGCTGGGTTTCACGCCAAGGATGGGAGAGGTCGCTATGGGGTGGTCTTGTTGATTGCTTCAAGGAGCTTCAGATTCCACACTTGTCCTGCAACCTCAACTGAGTGTGTGTGCGTGTGTAAACCTAAACCCCCCCTCCAGCATTCTGGGAGCCAACAGGATTCATGGGCATTTGTGATCAGACCATTTTAACCAGACCCCCTCTCCTGCTGTGTGCTGGGAGCCACACTGACCTTGGTTTTGAGTAGGCAGCAGTCAGACCATGGTTCAGGGCAAATCTCTAGCCCTGAAACCCAACCTGTCCTCAAGGATTCAGAGCCAAAGATTACGTCCAAGGCAGGGCTCTCTTTCATGTGTGGGCCAGTCATCATTTTGGAGAGACCCAAGGCAGACAAGAAAGTTGGAAAATCTTGGGCCAGCCCTGGAGAAGTATTCTCGGCATGGATGCTGAAGTCCCCCAGAATGATGACTCTGGGTGTCTCCAACACTACATCTGAGACTACCTCTGCCAATTCAGACAAAGTGCCCTTTGAAGAATCAGGCGACCAGTAAACAAGCAGAATGTCTTACCTATCCCTGGTCCCTAACCTGAGGAGCATACAGTGAATGCTGGCGATGGTCTGCACTGGAAGACTGCGGAAGATAAAGAACTCACAGAGGATAATGGCCCTTCGCGACTTCCGGTTGATGGCAGCACGCTAGGCAGACGCATCTCCCGGACCTCCCGGGGATGCAGTCTGTGCACGGCGGGAAGGAGGGGGAGCGCTGGCCCGTTACCCCCCCCAGGGAGCCTGGCAGAAGGCTCCTAGCCAGGGGAGTTTTGAGGAGTCGCCTCTTCGCCTGCGCGTTGTGGGTGAATTGAGGCACTCCTCTGTCCCAATGGTCCTTCCTGCGCAGTGCCCAAATGGGATCTAGTGACACCGACCGGGGCAAGCGTAGGAGATCGAGCGGGCGAAACAATGCAAAGCGGGGTCGGAAGACCAGACATGAACGTGAGTCGGACTAAGCGAAACGACGGTTAAAGAGAAAAGAAAGCTCCCTACCCCATGTTGAAAAACAGAAAGTGAGGCGGGCTGGGGAGGGACATCTCCTAACCGCATGAACTTTTGAGCGAATCAAGGGGGGGGGGAGCATGTACAATTGTTAGGAAAAACTCACCAAGGCGAGTTCAGGCGTTTGAGCGCATATTCAGAGACTTTCGAAGTATTTCTCAAAGTAAACAATTGAGAAAGATGGCGGGGAAGAGGGCGGAGAAAGAGAAACTTTTGAAATCGAAACTAACGGAGAGCCCCAAACCGGAAGGAACTAACGAGCTGGCAAAGACTTTGACAGAATCCATGCGCCCTCTACTGGACCAGATGAGTAATCTCAAGGAACAGATGTCGAAAATGACTCAGTGCATCACCACACAGCAAACACAGATAACCGAGACACTTAAAATGATAAATGAAACGGCTGAAAAGGTGAAAGAAGTGGACACCACTGCACAAAAGGTGAAAAAGAAAGTTCAAAAACTGGAAAAGCAGCAAGTTTCTACGGAAGATCAACTGCTACAATTACAAATGGAAAAGGCTAATATGATTCTTCGCTTCCAGGGCTTGCCAAAGACAAAGAGAGAGAATCTGAAGGAACTAATGAGTGAAATATTGGCCCCAGTGACGGATATGAAGGTGGAACTCCTGTTAAACGAAATGGATGTGGCCTATAGGTCATATTCAGGATATGTAAAGAAAAATAATCTGCCTGGGGAAATTGTGGTAAGATTCTCGAAGAGGCATGTGAGGGATACAATCCTGAAAGCAGTATCTGGAGCACCCCTAAAAGTGGGGGAGAATACCATCAGAACGTTGAAAGACATTCCATTTGAGATAAGACAAAGGAGAACGAAATATAAATAATTAATTTTTTTTCTACAGACAAATGCAATTGGAGATAGATGGTTAACTCCAGAAGGCGTAACCTTCAAAATCAAGGATAAAAAAGAAAAGATTGACTCTGTCCAGAAAGCATGTGACTGTTTAAGAGTCCAGCTGGGAGGGCCAGTGAAAGAAGGAGAAAAAGGGGAGGACAGTAAGTCCAATGGCGAGCTGGACTCGGAATCTTCCAGGGAGGACTCTCTTTCAGAGAAAGGGGTGGCAGCCCCTAAAAGTCCTTATAAGCTTCGGAAGAGATTAGGCAAGGAGAAGTAAAGGCTGAAGGACTCTGAATTGTGCCTTTAAAAAATGTTGAAGTGAGATGCTTTGGGGTGTTTCTGTTTGACAGTTAAATTTTAAATTTAAGACTTGAAAAAGTCAATGCTAAACTTGACTCAGTTGATAGTAAGATTAACGGGATTAAGACTAAATGTATGGTTAAACTGGTGGGATGATCTCATCTCTTGGGTTTTTAGTCAGTAGTGGGTATCTTTCTTTATCCCATAAATGTAGTCCCCCTTCCCATTTTCTGTTGTAGTTTGTAGTGTTATAAAAAATGCAATAAAAAATCCCCTTTGGGGGCTTAAAAAAAAGATAATGGCCCTTCCAACTCCCTAGGCAACGGTGCATGGTTGATGGAGGACTGGATAACCAGATGGCATTAGTCGGGACAGACACACCACACTGTTGACTTCCAACCATGTCTCTGTTACACAAACCAGGCTGACTTCCTCTTCTTGTAACAGGTCACACAGTTGCATGTTTTTGTGCCTTACTGATCTGTTGCCTGGTTTTGTCCCTTACTAACACTGTTAGTGTACAGGTGAAGGAATTAGGGCCCACTGTGCCATCAATGTTGGGGGGGGGGGTGGATCTTAGATAGGCATCGAGCATCCTTACCACACACTGGCCTTCTCTGATATATCCCACCTCCGTACCTACCAGCTCCCAATGGCACTGAACGACTGCATTCATCAGACTGCCCCACAAATACTAAGAGACCACCCAAACAACCGACAATTGACACACTAGTGACTGCACAGAAACTGTTACATCAGACCAGGGTTTCAGTCATGGTGTACTGATGTCAGCATTATCTAACAGGTGTAGTTCTATGTCAGTAACCGCTATATAACGATGCAATTTGAAAAACCCACTAAGGCAGAACAAACACTGTAGTTGCAGCAGCAGCTGCTGCTGCTGCTGCTGCTGCTGAAACAACAGCATTTTAATCTGCAGAGCCCATCAGAAGCCCTGCTGGGCAAGAGCTCCACCACCTTCCAAAAACAGTTCGTGGGGTCAAGAAAGGTGTCAGCAGGAGCCACGGCATCCCATTGGGGACCCCTCATAAAAAGACGGTCTCAGTTCTATGAGACATTCATGGAAAGGCTGGGGTTTCACACCTAAGTGCTCTGCAAGTACCTGCACCACCCAAACTCACTTGAAAGAGGTAGCGGCATAACTCTTCCTTCACGAGTCCCAGGAGTGATGGGCACTTTGCCACAGAAGCCAGCTCCAGGGCAACAGTGAGCAACTGTAGCCCCATGTGGATCATCACGTCTGAGTTGTGGCGGTCATGTGGGTTAGTGAGGGAGATGAGAAAACGGAGCAGTTCTCGGATGCAAGGCAGTCCATAAGGGACCAGGGCTGTTCCTGTAACAAAACACACAGAACGAGTGAGTCTGCATGCAGAGAGAGAGAGAGAGAGAGAGAGAGAGAGAGAGAGAGAGAGAGAGAGAGAGAGAGAGAGAGAGAGAGAGAGAGAGAGCGAGAGAGAGAGAGAGAGAGAGCGAGAGCGAGAGCGAGAGCGAGCAGCAGAACACGGTAGGCTTGTAACAGTCACCAATTCTCCTCTGGCCCCTTTTTAATCAGTACCGAGAGGCAGCACAGAGACAAGCAGACATGGACCACTGTGGTCCGCGTGTCAGGCCAAGAGGGGGGAGGAGATGCAGATTCCGCTCCCCACTTAGCCATGAAGCTCACTGGGTGAACTGGGGCTGGTCAGTCTCTGCCCAGCTTCCCTTGCAGGGGTGCTGTGACAGGGAATGTGGTCGTCCCCCCCCCCCCACCACCACCACACACACATACAGCACACACACCATGAACTCCTTGGAGAAAAGACAGGACACCGAGTGGGAGGCACACCCACATGCTCACCTTCCTTCTGAGAGCACTGTGTGAAGCGCACCCCCCGGGGATTGACATAGTCCATGTCGTGAACAGAAGTGGAGTCTGAGTGTTCAGCGGCAGAGGTGCACTCCTCTAGAACTTCTGGGATGGACTCCACTGAAGCAGAGGGGGTCTTTTCTCCTGGGTGGTAGTCATTCTTTAGCCATGCAAGTTAATATGAGGGGAAATAAAGTAAATATCAGCTAGCACAAGCAACCCATCCCTTCAACACCCAACACATCCACAGCCAGAATATATTCCAAAGGTCAGCCCTGTGGCCAGATAGCCAGCATCTGAAGCTACAGTACGTGCCGGCCTGCCTGCCCACCCTGTGCCTGAAAAAACCTTCAAGGGGAGAGGCACACTTGAGGACAGAGCTGCCATGGGAAGAGCTGCCTCGGGAACCGCACCTCTACGGAAGGCGCTCTCTGCTCTAGCCCCTTTTGCTGTAGGGTGCTCTGCAGGGGGCAAAGTGAGCAAACGTGGACCACCAGTGGTCTGGGTGCATCTTGTAGGACGTTCACCAAAGCAGAACAAACAAGGTCCACATGGCTGGCTATATGGAGAGCAGCCACCACAGCCTCCGCAGTCCCTTCTTACCCACTGGTCTGCTGCAGCACAGACACACACGGAACCCACAGGAAACAACAACCACACCTGCGCCACAGGGAAGGTAGGGAACAGTGTAAACATAGAAGGAACAGGTAGAAAAATAGATGAAAAATGACTCCGTGTCCACGCAATAGAGTTCATGAGCGTGCTGCTGTTGCTGCGACACGTACAAAAAAACGGAGTGGGGCTTCAGCCCTCTAAGCATGTATCCTGCTTTGGATGGGCAGATCCGGTTCCTAAGCTCTAGAGATCACGGAGAGGTGTGCTCTGCACAAGACTATAATGTGCCTACATTCAGACCAGGAAGGACAACAGGACCGTAGTAGTGTGCCACCTAGAGAGCTGAAATGCAAACAGAGACGACAGAAGCTCACACCTGGGGTTCTGGCTGCTCTCTGCATCTAGGCTCACTTAAAGGCATTGCTGCACAAATTCCCAGAGGGCTGATGGGCTGCAAGTCTGTAAGATCTTCTTTGGAGCTCCTCTGGGAGGAAACCTCTAGGCCACTGTCTGTAGATGGACTGGCTGCGGAAGACGTGTTCTCTGAACTTCCTGATGAGATGGGAGAAGGGACGTCAGCAAAACTGACTCCTCCTGCGTAAGGAAGGACAGCAATCAATAAGCAAAGCCCCGTGATGAGTAAAGACACACAACTAAACAGCACGTGGTCCCCTTCCCATTTGCACATGGATATGATGTTGGACTGCCCCCGAGGAACCCAACTAGTACTGAGCACAGCAGCCTCCCTTCTCACTGGGTGGCATAGCGTGCATCATCATCATCATCATCATCATCATCATCATCATCATCATCTTACTTGAGACGTTTATACACCACCAACCTTTCTGCCACAGCATTAGAGGCAGGTTTCGGTTCAAAATGATGCCTCCACACACCACAAAAGGCAAAGAAAGGGAGGAGGAAACGAAGAAGCACCCGAACCCTTCCTGAGATGCTGGCCAGGACCACCAGGAAAGACACAAAGGAAACTGGTGGGATAAAGGGCTGGTTGAAAGAAGTGAGTCTGTCAGGGGGTTCCTTCCTCTTATCCTTTAGCCACCACTTTTGAACACTCTGCTCTGGAACAAGCTTTGTCCAACAGACATTCACCTATATCTGTTGTTGGGCGGTCAGTCCCACTGGACCCCAGAGGACCTGGACCAGGCGCTTTAGGACGTGGCTGGATGGCTTAGACTGAGCCGATTGAAACTGAATCCCACGAAGACGGAGGTCCTGTGCCGGAGTCAGAGCAGGTCGGGGGTAGGGATCCCACTGCCGCCCTTCGGTGGGGCGCTGCTGGTGCCAGCGCCGAGGGTCAGGAGTCTGGGAGTGCTCCTGGATGCCGCCTTAGCAATAGAGGCTCAGGTGGCAGCCACTGCCAAGGGTTAGCCTTTTACCATCTACGGCTGATTAGGCAGTTGGTTCCCTTCCTCAAACACAATGACCTGGCAATGGTGATCCATGCTATGGTCACCTCGAGATTGGACTACTGCAACGCTCTCTACATGGGGCTGCTCTTGTCCCAAATTCAGAAGCTGCAGCTAGTGCAAAATGTGGCAGCCAGGCTGTTGATGGGTCTCTCCATACGAGAGCACATCAGGCCTGTGCTGAAGGCATTGCACTGGCTGCCAATGGCATACCATATTCGTTTCAAGGTGCTGGTTTTGACCTTTAAATACCTACATGGTCAGAGGCCTGCCCTTTCCCATATGTCCCCCAGAGAGCACTGAGGTCAGAGTCGCAAAATCACCTGACTCTCCCTGGTCCGAAAGATGCCAGACTGGGCATCACCAGAACTAGGGCCTTTTCAGTGGCGGCTCCACACTGGTGGAATGAGCTCCTGGAAGACATCAGGGCCCTGCGGGACCTTTTACAGTTCCGCAGGGCCTGTAAAATGGAGCTGTTCCGCCAGGCCTTCGATTAGTAGCCACCACTGATGAATGAGCTATTAAAAATTGAACTGTTATGGCCCTCATGTTACTGGCATTAAGAACATCTTTGGATACTGGCCTAGCTACATCGGACCACCTTACAGCAATCGCCATCTGCACTTAACTGTATATCATTTGTTTATGAAATTTCATGGTATTGCACTTATGCATCTCTGTTTTATTGTATTTTAACCTGTTGTACACCGCCTTGAGCCTGCCTATGCAAGTAAGGCGGGATATAAATCAAAATTAATATTATTATTAATAATAATAATAATAATTAAAAAAATAACTAAGAGAGAACATTGTAGTCCAACATGATTTTCCTCCTCCAAATAGACTTTTTCTCAAACATCTTTGGTGTAATGAATAAGATGTAAACCTTTTAATTATACTCCTTTTCAACCAACTATAATGGAGGAACAATTTAGGGTACCAACCTCCAGGTGAAACCTGAAATTGTCCTATAATTACAACCGATGATGTCCCCTGGGAGAAATGGCAGATCTGGAGGGCAGACCCGAGGGAACCACATTCCCACTGAGCTCCCTCCCCTCCCCAGGGACCACCCACAAATCTCCAGGAATTTCTCAAGCGGAAGTTGACAACTCTAGTTACTATCCCCTCTCCAAACTCTATTCTCTGTAACTGCCAATCAGGTGTGTTTTTCAATCCAACCATGGCTCAAGACCACTGTTGCTATGGACTTTCCATAGCATCAAAACGACAGGCTCCCATCAGAGGCAGGAGCCAGATGGCCACTCACCGGTCATGTGGCCTGACAGGCCGGTGCCACTGGGAGCAGGCTGCTCTGATCCTGAAGACGCTTTGCTCACGTGGCAAGAGGTCCGTGGTGATCGCTTCTGCTTCTTCCATTTCGACGAGTCACTCATTCCTCCTGCTCTCATCTTCAACTGTAAATATCAAGCACATGCTAAAAAAAAATCTCCTGCAGCCATCCAGTCTCAAACAGGCGACAGCATTCAATGAGGCTAGAGTCCCAGGGTCATGCCAGTTTTCCCCAAGCCTCGTACATTACCTTGTAAATTATTTCAGTTTGTAAGTTGCCTAAAAACTTGTTACCCTGATATTTTAAAGGGAGAACTGCACTAATTTCCCCCTTTATGTATGCACACAGATTAAAAAAAAACATTTTAAGAAGAAAAGTAGTCAAGGCTATTTTTTACATGTTTACTCACGAGCTAAAATCAATAAAAAATTCAACTGCAAGTTCATGCCCTGCCTTCTGTCCCACATAACACACAACATGGGGCGGGCTCCATCCACTCACAATCTGCCCCAAGTCTTTCTCTTTGCAGTTCAAAAGCTTCAGTGAAGCTCAGAACAAGACTACTTGGCAGCAACCTTAAACAGGCCTACTTGGACATAAATCACAGGTCAGCTGTGCACAGAACAGCCACCTTAGATGACAACAGAGGGCAAGGCGAGGGGTGACTTGAGGGGGGGGATGCAGTATGGGTCATAGAAAACAGAAGGGACAGAGGGGCTCCCCCTAACAGAACCTCAGAGCAGCCATCCTCTTCCCAAGATGCGGAACTGGATCTCGGAAGGAAACAATCTACTATTTCCACAGTTCTCTCAGCCCCACCCACCTCACAGGGTGCCTGTTGTGGGGAGGGGAAGGGAAAGGAGTTTGTAAGCCGCTCTGAGACTCCAAGTGAAGGGCGGGGTATAAATCCAATCTCCTCCTCCTCCTCCTCCTCCTCCTCCACAGGGCTTCAGTGGAAGAAAGAGAACCTTGGAGAGGCACCACGAGGGGGGTTCCTTCTGCTCTGAGGTTAGGAGGGCATCTTGGAAGGGGTGATTCCCACCCAGTGCTCAGGGAGGCGGGGCTAGACTCTTCCACGATCTCCCAGGTGGGAGTTGCCCTGGCTCAGTTTGGGTGACAATGATCACAGGAGGAACAGGAAGGTATAGAACAGAGATTTAAAAGAACAACCAGAACAAGTAAGTCACTGTCAGAAGCACTGTTATGATAACCAGAGAAGAGAGATGAGTGGGGTTAAAGAAAGATTAGAGCCAGCAGGCATCTTCCAGTGCAAACTGATTACATAGGTTTGGACAGACTACGGGTTTTGGTAGACATTCCTCTGTTCTTTCTGTGGGGGTTTCTGTGTGTGTGTTTTGTATGGAACCAGGTGCCCTCCTAACTGCAGAGCAGAAGGAACCCGCACAGTATGTATCCAAGGTTTCATTCTCGCTCTGAGGAGGAGGGCATCTTGGACGTGGTGTCCCAGTGATGGGTGGGAACTGATGCTCTTCCACCAACACCTCATATCCTGCAGTACTCTAAGCCCAGAGGCAGCGTTGGCTGAGGAGAAGGAATTAGGTTTGTATTGTCTGACACAGGTCAAGACTGAAGACCCTGTTGCCACCTTGCATTTTTCCTGTTTGGTGTAGTGGTTAAGTGCACGGACTCTAATCTGGGAGAACGGGGTTTGATTCCCCACTCCTCCACTTGCAGCTGCTGGATGACCTTGGGCAAGCCATGGTTCTGGCAGAGCTGTTCTCTCAAGGGCAGTTCTGGAAAGAGCTCTCTCAGCCCCACCTTACTCACAGGGTGTCTCTCTGTTGTGGGGAGGGGAAGGGAAAGGAGTTTGTGAGCCGCTCTGAGACTCTGTGAGTGAAGGGCCATGGGGTATAAATCCAATCTCTTCTTCTTCTTCTTTCCTCCACTGAGACTTGATGATCAAAGGCTGTGGAAGTGGCTGCACTTCTCACTGAGTGGACCGTGATCCCTGCTGGAACTGGAATACCGCTTGCGTTGTAGGCATGGGACATGTGCTGTCAAATGGCGTAGCCGGTGGCTGATCTGGACATCACCTTCCCTTATTTGGGGCTGTTAACAAAATGAAGAGAGAGTTCGTCTGGTGGATTCTGCATGTTGGGGGTAGATTCTGAGAGCCCTCCAGCGGCCTGGGAAGTACCACTCTCTCTCCTTTTCACAGGAATCAGCAGATTCACCTCCCTTCCTTCTGGGTGCCAGCAAAAGGAGGGGAGGTGGATCTCCCTGATTCCTGTGAAAGGTTAATTTCATCTGAGTGACGGAGGTGGGATCTGGCCTTGCCCTGGTGGAAGACACACACACGCGCGCGCGCGCAGGCCTTTCCTGGCTGACACGGCTCCTGGTTTCAGCCTTCCCCTAGCTGAAATCACTCTGCTATGAGAAATGGTTTTCATGTGCAGCCATTTTAGGGAGAGCCTCTCTTAAGTCGAAAGGAGGGTTAGCAAGAACTGAAACAACCATATATAGTCTCCAAAAAGGCAATCTGTAGACCACAGCAGGGTAGATCTGTACAACCCCTTGGAGAAAGCAGAAGATATGAGGACATCTTACTGGAAGAAGGTGAGCGTTTCCCTGACAGCTCTAAGTACCAAGGCACTGATGTCCATCGTCTTTTCCTTTGATATCTCTGTGCCTTGGGCTGGACATTTGAGCAGTGATGCTGCCCAGCCAGAGAGACTTGCAGTCTGAAAAGTTGTGGGATGTGGTCGAAGACAGAGGATTGGTCCCATCTCAGCTGTAGGGGTCAGCCCACCAGACCATCTTCCATCTCGAGAGCCCATTTCAGGTTTGGGACAAAGCGACTCCTCCGCAGGATCTCTAGTCAATTAGAGCTGGAGGAACCACCACGGAGGTCCAAGCAGGCCATCAGGCTCATGGACCTGTCCCTGTGCAGGAGGTTATTAGGCCCTGGAGGTGTGTTGGGGACCTCAGCTGGACCCTCGTGGCTCTGAACAGATCTTTTGACCAAGTTGAAAATCCTGGAGGCCTTGTCTGCTGGGCAAGGGGGTACAGCATATTTTGGCATATTTGTCTATGATGACGCTGAGGTGTTGCAGCCCCTGCGGTGGGCTAAGACTGCTCTTTCCTTGTTCAAAGTGAAGCCATGGACTTCCAGGAGCTGAATGGTTCTGAGGGTGTCCCTGATCACCAGCTCCCAGGTGGGAGAACAGATCAGGCGGTCGTCAGATAAGAATGGATTTAGTTTCCTTGCTGGCAGATAAGGGTCACTAGAACTATGAGGACCTTGGATAAGACCCAATAGTTAAACACAATAATTCAGTAGTTAAAAACAGTATAATTTAAAATAGGTAGCACTATCAGTTGAAGTGCAGTAAGCTCAGAAGCTGGAGCCACTGGGCCTCTAAACTCTTCTCAGCCTGAGCCTCATACAGATGGATGGAGAGCTTCAGCAAGGGAGGCCCCCTTGATTGGACCCCCGCCACCTCATCCAAAGCCCTGGTGGGACAGCACCCTTTTACAGGCCATGCAGAATGATAGGAGGTCCCACAGGGCCCTGATCTCAAGCGGGGGCACGTTCCACCAGGCCAGGGCCCCTTCTGCCCGAGGCTAAGCAGACATCCTTTGGGCCGGGGACAACCAGCAGATGTTGGCTGGCCAAGTGCAAGGCTCTCCGGGGCACATATGGGAAGAGGTGGTCCCTCAGATATGTCAGTCCCAGGCTGTGCATGGCTTTAAAGGTCACAACTGACACTGCTAGGGATGGGACATAGGCAGGAAGAGGTCTGAGCATTACCCTATATCTGGCCTCTTTCATTCCATTTAGTGGGATGCATCCTAGTCCCATCGCTGTGTCTGCCCCCACCCCCCTATTACTGGTATCCCCAAACCCTGCATGACCTCCCCTGCTCGATGTTACCTGCCCAGAGATGGCCCAGCTAAGCACCCAGCAAAGAAGATCAAATTAGGTCCTAAAATGGTGCCTACCTGAAATCTACTAACTACTCTCAAGAATCCAACCCTTTCCTCCTTCCCTTCCCTTCCTCAACCTATCAACTCACCTACTACCACAAAAAAATTACCAAGTTGATTAATAGGACATATAATATATTTCAATCAACTTAGATAGTTCAATTAATTTGATTAATTAATCATAAAATTCTTGATTTAATCAGACCTGAGTCAGATTGAGGTGACAAGAGAGGAGGTCCTAAAACTGATAGACAACTTAAAAACCGATAAATCACCAGGCCCAGATGGCATACATCCGAGAGTTCTGAAAGAACTCAAATGTGAACTTGTGGATCTCCTGACAAAAATATGTAATCTCTCCTTAAAATCAGCCTCCATTCCTGAGGACTGGAAGGTAGCTAATGTCACTCCCATCTTTAAAAAGGGTTCCAGAGGAGATCCGGGAAATTACAGGCCAGTCAGTCTGACGTCGATACCGGGTAAATTGGTGGAAACCATTATTAAGGAAAGAATTAGTAGGCACATAGATGAACAAAACCTATTGAGGCAGACTCAACATGGGTTCTGTAAGGGAAGATCTTGTCTCACTAACCTGTTAATGTTCTTTGAGGGGGTGAACAAACATGTGGACAAGGGGGATCCAATAGATATTGTTTACCTTGACTTCCAGAAAGCTTTTGATAAAGTTCCTCATCAAAGGCTCCTAAGCAAGCTCAAAAATCATGGGATAAAAGGACAAGTCCTTTTATGGATCAAAAACTGGCTAATTAATAGAAAACAGAGAGTGAGTATAAATGGGCAGTTCTCCCAGTGGAGGGGGGTAAGCAGTGGGGTACCACAGGGATCAGTACTTGGTCCACTGCTTTTTAACTTGTTCATTAATGATTTGGAGTTGGGAGTAAGCAGTGAAGTGGCTAAATTTGCGGATGATACGAAGTTGTTCAGGGTGGTGAAAACCAGTGAGGATTGTGAGGCACTCCAAGGGGATCTGTCAAGGATGGGCGAGTGGGCGTCAACATGGCAAATGGGGTTCAATGTGGCCAAGTGCAAGGTGATGCACATTGGAGCCAAAAATCCTAACTATAAATACACGTTGATGGGGTCTGAACTGGCAGAGACAGATCAAGAGAGAGATCTTGGAGTTGTAGTAGATAACTCACTGAAAATGTCGAGACA